TATATTTATGAAATGTCTGAACCTAGATTATTATTTATTAAATATACCAATATTATTTGTCCAAACCTAATTACGAAACATGATTCTTCGCCAAGTAGGATTCCGAAGCACCAAAAGCAGCCACGTCGGCTCAGCGCATTCGAAAAATTATATATAGGGAGGATTATTGTATTGTATAATATATGATACATTGATCAGTCTTAACCTTAGGTTGGGCCTAAACATAGGCCACAATACAATAATACACTTTACATAACTAATACAATTCACAAAAATTTTAATTCACTATTTATTTAATCACACAATTTAAAAAACTTATCACTTCGAATCATTTATCTTTTACTTTTACATGAAATTAATTTTAATTATTTTATTTTAAATATTATTTTAATAATAACTTAAAATTGTACTAACGAACTAATCATATTAACTTTTTGAGCACATTTATATCAGTATAAATGTGTTAGTGAGATAATATATTAATTATTTCACAAGCTAACCCTAACATGTTCACATTTAATGCTCTGACTAAAAAAACAATGTTGATTTAAAGAGGTGGATAATAGACTATAACCCTATTTTTCTGGACTTTAAACTCTTTAAACAATATCTCATGAATAAACATATAATATATTACTACATAAAAAATTCGAGAATTTACTTAAAATATTAGGTAAAATTCCACTTAAACATTTGAAATTTACTAAATTCAGAAATTTCAAAAATACTTCAAGTTTGAAATTCTAAATGAAAATAAGAATAAACTTTATTCATTTCTCATAGGGTTAGTTAAAAATTAGTTAAAGTAATTATTTTTTTTATTTCTCATAGGGTTAGTTAAAAATTAGTTAAAGTAATTATTTTTTTATTCCACCCGGATCTTTTGGGAACATAGGTTTCTTTATTTCTTTTTCTTATTGTGTATAATATTTTAAAATTGATTTAATTTCTTTTTTCAACAAAAAATTATTTCTTTTTTTACATGGTGTTTGAAACTTGATTTCAATATCTTCAATTACAAATTCCAAATGGGTAACTAAGTCTTCACTTTTATCACTAAAATGAGATAACATGCCGGGTTGATTGAGCCCGAGAAACAGCAAGACTGAACCGAATGAACCGACAGGTCGAACAAAGACTGAAGGCATTACAGATCGAAGGATCCTCAAGCCAATGGGGACATCACTAATTTGGGCCCCTAAATGGCCTGGCTGAAACTTGATCTTAAGGTACGGCTGGTCAGGATCGACCAGATGAGCAGATTATAGGAGCTCAGTGTCGTTGGTACTCTACCTCGAGGTAATTGGAGGTCGATCTCACGATTAGAGTCTAATAAGGAAGACTAAGGGATGTGGAGGGTACTATTATGATAAGATCCACACGTGGATAGGGCCACGTAGGGAGCCATTTTTTCTCTCTCCAGGTGCCTCACCCCTCTTTTTAGGAAAAAACCTAAATCGGCGAAATTGTTGCCTTCCCCCAGCAGGGCCTTCGGGCCACCATGACGTCGACCTTCACCGAACTGTGCGACCGACTTCCAGAGACTTGTCGGACGTGGCGGCTGCCTCTTCTTCGAGTGAGGTGGCGAGTTCTCCCTTGGTTTTGCTTCCAGTTAGGTCAGAAAGGTGGGATGCACGTGGTCCAGAGATTCCTCGGCGTCTAGGTGGTGGCGGGCTTCTGACAAGGCTATGAGAGTAGGTTTGTGGATCCAATCATCCCCTCGGTGGTGGTCGAGCCTGAGATCGAGCAGTTCCACTCTCCTCCATTCTCCCGTTCTTCTATGCCATTAGGGCCGGTCGGGTTGCGGTGGCAGAGTCGCGTCGGGTCTTGTCTTGTGTCCTTGACCCAGGTCGTCGGGATTTGGGAGGTGGAGTTTGTTGTGTTCCTTTAGTTTCGGGTCTATGGATTGTCTACTCGAGCGAGGGTCAAGGTCCTTTAGTCTCGAATCTGGTTAGATGATTTTTCTGTATTTTTTGGCTTTGCGGCTTGGACCGGGTCTCTATCCATGTGAGTGGCCGCCCGTAGGTGTCGGCGTCGTTGGTGTTCAGTCTGGTTTTGCTGTTGTGGGAAGGGCTATAGTTTATTTATTTTATGTATTCTTTATTGTGTTTGTGTTGTGTTGTAAGCGTGCGTTTATTTTTTTTTTTTCTCCGTTTTTAAAAGTGTTGATTCTCCTGGTAGGGAGTTTGTATTATCTCGTTGGGGAGTGGGTATTCTCCCGTTGGACAGCGTTTTGTGTGTTTGCTATGTTTTATTATGTTGTGGCATTTAGGATACATTTGGTAGGCCTCCCCTTTTTGGCTAGTGAGCCGGCTATAAGTATGTGTTTTAGTAATGCATCTATCGTTTTAAAAAAAAAAGATAGAGTCGCGTGATCGAACAAAATTGGGCAGTTTGAGCAGTACGAACAGAGAGTCTACGCAGCCCATCCGAGCACACTTAGGTAACAAGGTATCATCTTCGTATATAAGAGATGAAGTATGTCCATTATTACATTACAATCTTTACATATATATTTAAATATTATTCATCATCTGCTACAATATGCTAACTTATACATCGGAGTCTTTTCACCAGAAAAAGCTCCTCCGGTGTCGAGTTTTTGCAGGTTACAAAAGTCGCTCATTGGCAAGAAAGACAGATTGAGGTCAAACCGAGCCGGTCGAGGGTCTTTCTGTACTAATCATACTTCCTAAATTATTAATGTAATTTTATAATCTTTATATCATCTTACAATTTTTCTTTTAATTTTTTTTTCGTTTTCAACTTCTTAATATGTTGAAAATCGTCGATTTAATTTAGAGCAGTGCAACCATTGGTTTATCCGATGTTTGTGTTTATCTATTAGTTAAAATCTTTATCAAGTTTAAAATCGTCGATTTAATTTAGAGCAGTGCAAGCATTGGTTTATCCGATGTTTGTGTTTATCTATTAGTTAAAATCTTTATCAAGTTTTGAAAAATTTGACGTCTTTACTTAAATTATGTAATCACAATTAATAAAATCATTAATTTATTTGTTTCTTAAAATTCTAAAGCTTGAACCAATAATATTTAAAATGCATATTGTTAGGACAAATTTAGTAATCCCTTTAAGCTGAAAAATGGATGGAACATTTATGTTAATGTATTTCATTGAACCGGATGATTTATATACCACATTGAAAATATTATGCTTTGATCTTTTTAATATTAGAAAAGATAATAAGGTACTTATGTATGCTTTTATATCTATATCTATTAATATTGAAAGGGACTAAACATTTACATTAAATAGTGAGAAAAATTACAGCCTAAACCTTTTATTTTTACTAAATATAGGAATTTCAAAATATTTTCAATTTTTTTGACTTTAAAATATGATAAATAAATTTTATAAATAATTATAAATTCAAATCTCTATTTTTGGTAAAAATATTTGGAGATTCTTATGCAAAAAATGTGTCATTTATTTATGATGAAAAATTCAAATACAAATTAATTTTAAATCCTTGCAAATTGTATAAATATTTAGAAAACAAATAGTTGTATAACTCTGAACAAATTCTTCAAATATTTGTAAATAGTTTTTTCTTTCAAAAATATATGCAAATTGGATAAAACTATGTGCAATTTTTATTTAAAATAAAAAACTGAGATTTTGACGGGATATACACTTAAAATTGTACCCGCATTTTTGGGTAACAAAATCGATTCCTCTTTTGTATTTAAAGTCAAATCTTATCCAGTTCAAAAAAGTGATTAATTTAATATATCATATATGAAAATTTGATAATTAATACAAAAGAATTATTAAATTTTAAAATATATTAATAGCATAAATTGACCCAATCTTTGTAAAACAAAAAGTTTATGAATAAAAATTCAAATTTACATATACTAGTCCAACCTAATCGGTTACATGAAATCTGGAGAAAGTTGCAACTGTAGTCCAGCAACTTAGGTTGTTTCTCATTTTAGTCCACTAACTTTGGCCGATCCAAATTTGGTCCAACAACTCCCAAAAGTTAGTTAAATCAGTCCAATTGGACTAAAATTGGACTAAAATTGGACTGAAATTGACCAATCAATTGGACTGAAATTGGACTGATTTAACTAACTTTTAAGAGTTTTTGGACCAAATTTGGATCGGCCTAAGTTAGTGGACTAAAATGGGAAACAACCTAAGTTTTTGGACTAACTTTTGAGAGTTTTGGACCAAATTTAGATCGGCCTAAGTTAGTGGACTAAAATGGGAAACAACCTAAGTTACTGGACTAAAATTGCAATTTTCTCAGAAATCTGGTCACTTTTGACCATAATTTTATTTTTTAAACTCAAAATCTATCTCAATTCAAATTCAATTTTTCTCAATATTATTAATATAATAAAATTATATTATAAATCATCCACACACGTTAGATCAAGTTTAATTTCATATTCATCCATTAAAATAATTTTAACTGTGCATCACTTCCGATCATGTATCTCTTACTTTTAAATCAAATCAACTTTAATTATTCTATTGTAAACATTATTTTAGTAAAAACTCAAATTAATCCCACTCAATCAACATTTTCAAAATTAACTTATGATATCCAAAACATTCAGTGAAATTCAAAATAACTTATATCCCATCATTAGTAGAAAAAACACTTTTCACATCGGGTGTTCACATCAGTTTTTTCAAAACCGATGCAAAAAACACTTTTCACATCAGGTGTGACATCGGTTTTGTAAAAATCGATGTGAATTGTCATCCGGCGCATCGGTTATTATAAAACCGATGTGAATAACTTAATGTATTGACATCTGTTCAAAGTGTATTTATTGTAGGACACGTATCAATATACTATTTGTGAATAACTGTAGATGACTTCATAAGTCGAGTCATCCGATGTCTCCACGGCTAAACTGTCCTATTACCCCCTCAAATGTTTAGAAACATAAAGATTCCCAATGATTGAAAACTGACATATAGATAGGGGATCATTAAAATTTGACATATATACATACAAACACATGGGTAGGATCATGTAATTATATAAACCACTATTTTAACATGTCATTCTCAGCGTGTAACTTTTTGTCTATAAAGGCAAAGTGAGAACTTCTGTTTGGTACTGACCAAAAAGGCTTCTCATCATCTCAAACCCACCAAATTTGCAGGTGCATGCAATATTTCCTTCTTATCTTTAAGAACTTAAAAAGAATATCAGTTTTTTTTCATGTTATTTTTTTTCAGGACAATTGGATAGAAGCAATTCTGTAATGAACTCCTCAGCGATTTCATGGATGTCTCCGCCGGTATGTT